TGTAGATTCTAAATTTTAATCACTCTATAAAAAAAATAGATATATAGTTTGTACCTTTAGATTTTATTCACCCAAATGTAACTCATTTAAGAAAAGCTGCAATTTGTCTAACAGATTCAATTGCGTCTTTAATGATAACTTCAGTAATATCTTTATTAAAGTATAATTACGAACAATATTTTATATAATGAACTCATATGTTCTTATATTATATATCTATACCAGATTTTGAGTAGAGCAGATTTTTTTTTCTCTTTTAAGTATATTAACAAATTTTGTAATAACAATTGTAGATCTATAAGGAAATTTAAATAAATTTGATTTATGAGTAAGTTTTTTTTTTATTAAAAGAAGAATTTTTTAAATATATTTTTAATTAATATTATTTTGAATTTTAAAAAAATAGTAATATGTTTTAATTCATATTTGTAAAAATGCTTATATTTTTACTTGTTCACTAAATGTTTATAAGTATACAAAAAATAGAAATTTTAATAAAATAAAAACTCCAAACTTAGTTAATACTTACTACACAAAACTCTGATTTTTTTTTACTTAAAAGCATTTTTTAAGTTTATTCAAAATATTATTCAGATATATTGGTTATATTATATATATTACAGATATACTTGAATTTATATAAACAAGAATAGAAAACACAATATAGACACAAGGTTCATACTAAAAAAGATCTTGAAAAGATAGTTTGTCCAATAAAACCTATGTATAAATATTATTAGCATAAAAATGGTTTATTGTATTTATTGTTTGTATATATTAAAATTTTTATAAGCCAGTATAGCTTATTCATTCAGAAGTTTTCAACACCTTCCAATTTATCATTATGAGATATTAGCTTGTCCATCTCTACAGAAGCTTTAATAGTATACAAGTGCCAATCTAACTTTTTTACTATTTGTTTATATTGCTCTTTTTTTATATGCTTTGTAGATGCAATAATAAAGTGTAACCGATTTTGAATACCTGATAATAGCGTTGTTATAAGAAACAGATAACAGACAGTTTGGGATAAGATATTTGTAGATATGTCTATACAAATTTTTTTTGTTCTAAACATCTATACTAATATATGCCAATTAATATATTTTTTTTTTTTTTTCGGTATTAAGGTGACCTTCTTGGCCTGGGGACTTTTTATTAGTAATTATTAGTTATAGTTAATTATATTTAGAATAGAGAAGATTCTATTGGGTAATAGAATAGATCACAGTAATGCT